GAAGGTTCGGAATTTAAATCGAAGGTTTTGATAATTTTCAGGCTCGCTGTAATATTTCCGTTGGGAAATAGTGAGAAGTTACTTCTACAATTTGTTTCAACGTTTTTAAGGTAAAGTGATCCGGAAAAACTGGAAAAGTCACAAAACACAATTGCTTATTCTAGGATATGACTTACCTGCCTTGGTTTTGAACGAGCGGCGTTGCTGGTGGAGTATTTTTAACTAATAATTTCATGCTATTCCATCTCGATGAGGGTATGCTTATATAAAGGCCAGTGGGTTTTATGAATAAAACATATTTCGAAAGATAAATTATACTCCCGATCGTCTGATTTAATAATTTCGGCGGCGGCGCATCCTTCAAATGACATCCAGTTAACTAAGATAGTATAAGCATTATTCTATTTCAATTAATAATGTATATTTTAATACTCATTATTTTAGTCGGGAAATTGAATTTTTTTACAGGGACTTACAAATTTGATTATGTAGCAATTATTGTCATTAATTATTTATTAGTTTAATTAATTTGATCGGAATCAAAATAAAGACAGACCAGCGGCGGCAACATAGATACGGGGGTCACTTTTATTTTACCGTACACGATACATGCCGGATGGGATAGATTAGGTGTCTATCGATTGATGGATTTCCACTATTCATTATATTGCGTTAGTAATTCATAATATATAGCATTGACTTCCTTAAATACCTTGTTTCCTGTGTTGTACTGGGGGATATCTAGGGTGTGATTTCAACGGTTTCCGTATTTCTAACAATTGTTCTCTTCGCTTTAAAATTTATGTCTTATAATTTGCTACGTGTATGTAATGTAAAAAAAATGCAAAACGGTCTATTTTGTTCCATTGCAAGGTTACATATTATGATTAATTTAAAGTGCTTTACTTGAAGAATGAATTACGTTGCGACAACGTAACTGACACTTGTATAAAATGAAAGAAGGCTTTGCTAGGAGAGTGATTCGGTTAGAGATTTTCAGGATCCACTCAATTGAAGATCGTGATAAATTGAAAGACAGTTGGGCTCGAGCTGGTCGTGGCGTTACGAGACCAAAGACTGGTTCGTTGCCCTGGGGGTGTAGACGTTTTGTACGCGAAAGTCGAACGCAACCTAACTATTGCAAGAATAATATACATCATTCCATTATTCGTGATATATGCAAAATGAGCACATTAGTTGTTCACATCTCAGAGAAATGAAACGTGGATAGATTAGATAGATGTATTAGAAATTAGGCGAGTAACATAACATTAAGAGTTCTATATAGAGGACACGAGAATGCATCTTTTCCACGAGAGAGCGATTTACGTACTGTTACGAAAGTAGGCTCAAAATGGCAAAGTCAAACTTTTTTCCTGCGCACCAATGAAACAAAGACAAATTTTAAAAACATGCGATTGTAGTAACGACTAGATTTGTTTGTTTCAACTTCACTCTAAAGGTTGTAAATTTGTGGAATGTAACTGTATGTGGCTCTTATAACAGATATGCGAAATATATATTCTCAATAAGATATTTCTAGTTTTCCTTCATGTCGGGAAGTAGATACTTATAAATTGATAACGTGGAAATGAGTAAGAGGTTAATTGAGTTGGGGAATTTCTCAGATAGAGGAGTGATACACAAGTGTCGACGCGGCGATGCAAGTTTCACTATGTAAAATTCACTTCTCTTAAGTAATACTGAGAATTATTACTGGGTATGTATTAGTGTATTGATAGACTATAAGTTATCCATCGTCCTTTTATTATTATGTGAGAGAGTGAGGGAAATTATCTTCACCACGTTCTGCTAGTGGTAAATTAGAACATGGAAAAGTCACATACTTAGATACATTCGTTTTATTAACAGGATTTTTGATTAAATCCTAATAATTATGATCTACCACATGTTTATTATTCATATAGTTTAAAATCATAGTTTGACATATAATATGGCAAATGATATAGAATGCTCACTAATTGCTCATAGAATAGGATAAACTTCTCACTAAACTCACAATTACTTGTTATGTATCTAGTCACTTACATGTATGTCTTCTATTATGATCTTCTTTACTTCAAAAGTATTTTAGATTATGTCACCATTTTGGGTTCAATAGTATACTACATAGAATTTTTTAATTTTTCAACGCATAATTATAATAGGAAAATGTACCCTGAACTCGAGAATGCACAAAGATCTGGTGCTATAAGTAATTTCTATATCTCTAAAGTTATTTTCATGTTTTACCATCGAGTGCAAAACGTGATAAATCACGCACTTTTGATAGATATATATTTAATATATACTGCCTTAAGAAATTCGAGCTTATTCCACTTTAACCTGTGATCATAGTGCTCTTTTATGATATAGTATCACTTGACAGTTCTTTGGTTTATCTCCAGTACGACAACAATCACACACCTGACGAATATTACTAGGTAAATTTAACTATAAATTTTTTAAGAGGTAAGTGGAGTAGTGGTAATAATGTATTGATAAATAAAATTAAATTATGCTCTAAAAGCATTATCGAGTATGATATACATGAGGAATACAAGATTAATGGACAGATTCACAGCTCAAAGGACACTGATCGAACTATTTTGTATGATATCTAGAATTTGCTGTTTTTTATGTGTTATCTTGTTTAATAGACGTCTAACACAGAAAGAAGAGTTAAGCTGGTATGGTAAAACACTGTAAGCTTATTAGTAGAACTTTATAGATTATTAGTTATCGCAATAGATGCGAAGCGAAATTGGAGAAGTAGATTCATATGCTATATCTACACAGCCTGACTTCGTATGATAGTATATGTCATGTTCTGTGAGCTGCGTTACTATACTGCTTTCCGTCATTGTTAGTGGTTTACTTTATATTTTACGACACTAACAATATCTATCACAACACATACAACTATATCAGAGATCTGTACCGGATTATAGAATTTCATCTTCTTGCTTCGTAATCTATCACGTCGTGCTTACAAAAGAGCAGTAATGTAGTTCAAGTTTTTTCATATTACTCGATGAGATAACTACTTTACTCATCATATGGTTTAATCTTAAGTTTATTTGTTCTGGAATATATGAGGTATAGTTTAAATTAGCTAGTCTATTTTAATATGTCTATTATAAGTATAATAATGGGAATTACTTCAAAATAATTCGAGATTCTATTTCAGCAAAAGTTCCTATAAGAATGTTTTAAATACAGTGTAGCTAAGATAGTTATAAGAATAATACTACTAAATAATGTCGTTCTAAACCTAGCGAGCTTGCAAGTAAGCATTTAAACTTAATATCTATTCCTCGGTAGAATATGCGTAAAAGCCACACACTCGTTTTGAAATAATTGTACTCGCCTTGAAAAGGCTATGAGGGCTTCTTTTCACCTTTTCCTCACTCGACGGTTTATCCATCAATATATAACAGAGTAAAATTGACATTTATCCATTATTTAGGACTCGTATGCAGAGAATATCCAGGCATAACAAAGAGCAGCGTGTGGGATAAGGACTAATCATTATTTTATCCGCCATGACGATTGCATCATTTTCTCTCGCTGCGAATGGGTTTTAGGGCGCACGATTCTATAGGCGACTTCGTTGCCCTTTCTTAGCTTTTTGCGATTCTTTGCGACTCTTGTGAGTCTTATCACCTGTCTGTTGCCGTTTGTACTCCAAGCCCTTTAATCATTGTTGTCCCACCTGGTCGCTCAGCAGTTCATAGTGGATGCGATGTATATGAAGCTCTGCTTATGGAGGGTAACAATCGACTCACTTAAAAGCAGGCTTGGAGGCATATGTCTGTTCATTATGCAATTTGGCATTTGAGACGGCGTAGGGCGCGCTATTACTCGAAATCCCGCAGGGAACTCATTTAGATTACATGAATAAGCATAGTTTGCGAGCCTCCATCGGCTTCGCTCGGCTGATAAGGTCGGCGCGAATTGATGTAGTGGGCGTGACAGTAGTTCGACAGAGGACCCGATGAGCGGCGACACTTCCGCGGCGCGTGGCGGGGAAATAGGGCACGGGGACGTAAGGAGGTGACGGGGAGCGCGAGCAAGCGCAGAGCAAGTGAGGACGACAACGTGACAATCATCGAAGGTTGACGTGTGACGGTTCTGCGGTGGTGGCGACAATGGAATAATCGATGGCCAGAGGTGGGAAAAGGCAGCAGGGGAGGTGAGGGCCAGTGAGGGTGTTCGAGGGGGCGAGGGCGGCGAGGGGCGGGGAGGGCGGGCGTGAGGGCGGCGAGGGCGGCTGCGAAGGAAAAGCCAGACTGTTAGGCTAGGAGTCGAAGTTCAGTGCTTAGTGGATAAACAAAGAAAGTGAGCAAGAGAACGACGGCAATGTATAGATGACGTAATATGGAAAGAGACTCTAGAATTTTCCGGTCGATTAGCCGCGGCGGGTGCGCAGCAAACAGGAGGTCATTGAGGTACGGTTGGCAAACTCTGCAGCAAGGAGAAGCAGTCTTAATCCTACAGACGGTAAATCTAGGATTTTCGCACGAAGATACGCTCCTATGTGAGCTATACAGTTTAATTCTACTCTTTACAACACGTGCGGCACAGATCACGTGGATTGCAGAGGAGGTAGCCCACGCAACCGCCGCGCTGCAATCGCGGCCAACAACAAAACGAGTTTGCTATTAAGATAGTTTTTTGTGTGCTGTCGTTCCCCGTTGGTCGGCGCCGGGAAGATAAGCCGCGGTATACTGGCAAGGCGAGCGTACACGCGTCGTGCTTCGTGGCCAACCCTTACAGTCCTCTCAACGCGCCGCCAGCGCCGCAACTTTTGTAATAAAAGAGTGAGTATGAACAGGCGGAGCTCTACCTGACGAAACGCAAGGGGGAGAAAAGTACAGATTGAACTTTAAAGATTTTTGTGACACGAATTTTGGAGTGGCGGCCAGACAATTCAAATTAACACTAAACTACATATATAAGACATACTATTAGTGTATTTCTTACCCAAACACACTGCCATGCGGCGGCTTCACAATGGAACTCAGCATAGTACGGTCGAGCAGCCCTGTGAGCGTATTGGTCGGCCGGTCATCCTACAGGGGCTTCACGCCGAAGGTAGGCAACTAGGGAATCTGCTATCGGCTGGTTATGAAAATAGATTCACTTCTTTGGCCAAGAAACAACAGGTATAGACTTTAACTCTATGGTTTATCATACTCTGTACGGGGAATAAAACATTTTACTTCCAACGAGACAAGCCACCTCGCTCTCTCCGGACATTCTGTCTGGAAAACATCATTTCATCACAGCATGATGTGGGGACATACACATTGCAGGATATGATTAAGTTAAATAATGAGACTGAGAGTACTTACGGAACGCACGCTTGGTATTGATAACTAGAAAAAAGGAGGGAGCAATGAATCAGCCTGACGCGGATTTGGTCTTCTCTATAATCCTTATGTCAACTTCAGCTTATAAACTCATATGAGGGGCTTGCGTGTACTCATTTAGGAGCTAAGTATGCACGAGCGCGATGATGTGTAGAGTGTTCGCTCGCGGCGCTCAAGTCGATTCAGAGTCGGAGGGGAGGACGGGGAGGCGCTGTATTTTTGTGTGACACACAACATCACAGCGCGTCCTAATGTTGTGGCTCGTCTTTTTTGCCACACAGCTTTTTCAGATCTCAATCGGCGAGCGATTGTCATCCTTGCGGGACAGTCAGAGCTAATTACCTTGAGTCAAAAAGTGTAGACGCTTAGGGAAGAATTTAGAAATATAAGTGTGAAGTTGCGATCGTGCAGGATTTTGTTGGGTTTAGTGTCTTTATTTCCTACACATGTAATTCTTAACTTGCTCTGTTTTTGAGGTTTAATCTTAATGAGGGTGGGTTGGTGGTGGCTTATTATGGCGAGGGGTGCTAGTAGTTTATTGTACAATAAAGCAAGTGGTATGCGTAGAAGGTGCGATCAAAAGATGATTTAATTGTACGGAAAGGTAACTGTTTTCGGTTATGCACAAGGAAGATGTCTGCATAAGGTAGCGAGACTTTAGCACGGTAGCAGCAGGTGACCGGAGCTGACTGCATTATAACATAGGTCGGCCAGGGAAACATGTGTAATTGGCGTGCGTAACGCTAGTTCTCGGCGCGATGTGTGTATGTTACACCCTGGCGTCCGAAGCGCAGTGAAAATTTTCTAGCGATCGCTGTAGCGCGATGACACTAATGCTCGTTCGGCTGGTGTATTTGGTGAGAGTTGATTCCTAGCGTTTGCAAGTGCCAATTGAACGCTTCTGGGGAAGACTTGAAGAACATGTTAAGAGTTTGGCTCTTCTGTATCTCTGCTGCCGACTCTCGCGTCGTCTGGGATACGGGAAGACTTCTGGTTGTCCGTTTTCTCGTGATATGGAAAGCAGTCTCAAGGCGGGGCGTGTGATTCGTAGTTTAACTAGCACGGTCGCGCATGAGGGTAGGTGGGGAAAGAGTCTGTCAGAATAATCAGGGGGATGTCTTCAAGCAAGTCGTAGCAGGAGGAGGTACATTGTGGATAGTTGAGATCGGCACATGGCAATAGTTTCAATTAGATCTGGGATATCCACAAAACAGTATTACACACGATTATAAGATAAGAAAAGCACGGGTGTAAAAAGAATTTATGGTTAGATATCTTTTGTTTCAGATGTACTAATCTTATAGTTCTCCCTTGATCTCTTGTATGACTTCAAACATTAGTCCGTTGTTGCTATCTTGGTATACAACTTTAAATTACTTGGTCATATACAGGGCCAGCTAGTTACATGAACTGATTACATTTTGAATGATTTCACACAAGCTGGTAATATTTATAACGGTTAATTGGTAAATCTAGTGGGTTTGGGCGAAAAACTCAATTATATAGGGATATGAGATATCACTAGCTATCATTATAGTTAATGGGATTGCGGGTATAACTACTGTAAGAAATGACATAAATCATATTATACTAGTTAAATATTAATAAAATCAATTAAAAATTTAAAATTATAATCTGTATATGTTATATATTATAATAATAGGACACAACAATCGGTGAACAGACCAGATTTATTAAACTAGTATTTTACTCGATGATTCACATGCAATATATTCTGCAGATATTTTGTGATAGACATTTTATTTTCTTGAGGTACACTCGAATAAACAACGGAGATCGAATTCAAGTAGATAAACGATTTAGGTGGACATATACTATGTCAGACTTAGTTAGTTGATCTAGTATAAGTAGGGTCGTAAAGGAAGTCTCAATAAAGAGTATGGATAGGAGGAATCCTCAAAGGTAGCAGGTCGCTCGAGCGAGTGAATGCACGTTGCCTGGTTCATGGGCTCCTTAATTAAAAGTTGTCATGACCCACATAGCCATGTAGTTTCATTGGGCACTGTAGTTTTGAATCAGTATTAAAGAAGAAGTACTATCAAAGAACTTTTAAAATACATATTCTGGGGATTTGGAATCGGATTTGTTCAATTTGAGTAGTTTTCTGTTTGTACATTATCTAATATCGAGAAACGCAATCATCGGCGTGAATAGTATACAGATCGGGCGGGTCAAGATTTTTGTTATGCCGGGCCATTTCTTGGCGGGCTCAGACGTCGGGAAAGTAGACTTGGCGGCCAGGGAAGATGTTACTCAAATCGGGTGTGGCGAACTCTACCGTTTTACGTGTGGGCGCACTGTCGTTTAACGTATTGAATCTTTGGTCAGTGAAATTTATTTTTTTCACTTAATGCCAATTGTGCTTTCAGCGGTCAGCCACGTCGATCTCTAAGCTGCCAATTAGTCATAGCGCCTTGTTGAATCGTGACAAGCCGCTGGGCGCTCAAGGTCGCAATGCGGCCGCAACTAATGTGGTGGGTTTGAGACGGGTATGGACTAGGCTCGTCAGATTGAAGCGCAAAGAAATTAAATGTAGGTGCGGGGCTCTTTGACCAGGAGGGCAGAGTGCGACATCATTTTGGGACTTAGCTTAACTTGGTTATCTCGCTTGCTGGTGTCACGGCTTATGTTGAGCGTATGTTGGGAACGCATTGGCAATCGCTATAACACATGTATTTTGGTTAACATTATTTTATTCCGGCATATGAAAACAATTACAAATCGACAGGGGGGACGAGTATTAACTCGGTATTTTACGCGGGAAGTGTTTTAGTTTATATGCAGGGGCGCCAAGAGGTGCAACATTATAACACCAAGGAACCTAGGTTTGGATTTACGGGATTCCGAGCTATTTATCTTTGTCTTCGCTAGAGCTCTCTCTCACGGAAGATTCACAAAAAATGACTGCGTAGGAATTCTTCTGAGAAAACTTACGGATTTCAACATCTGGTGCAATCATCTCAATTGTTGTAAAATAACGAGTGTACAGATAACGTTAACATTACAAACACATCTGCACAGCACTCAGACGCCTTCTTCATGGTCGTTCCTAAAGGATATTTTTAGATGGGTGGACAAGAGAGAAGCCAGCAAACATTACTATTTACCCTAAAGGGAAATAACCATTTTATGCACAGCACTCTTGACTCACCACATTTTCAGCGACTTAATCACTTATACCATAGCCGGAGAAGTCTTCTTCCACGCTTTTACCGTGGAATTTCAGTTTATCGTTACATGATCTTTCTGACACGGAATAGCACAATCATGCTGGTACAGCATTCACGGATTCATACTGGCAATCTCAACTTACTACGAAATATGCTCTGTCGCTCAAGCTGTCCCGATAAATCACATCACATCTAAAAAATTTCGCGTTTCATACTAGAACTAATCCATCACATTTACATGTTCTAACCACTTTTATGGAACAGGGCCAATATTTTCTCGGGTGATTATTGTAATAAAATGATTTGATATCTAGTCAAATTAATACAAATGTTTCCGCTCTCGTGTTAGGTGGTATTAACGGGATAGTATATAGATAACAGAGTCGACTAATACGTTGTCTCGAACGATATGATACTTGTACGTCTGCTGTGTCACATCGTCAAAATTACCACTTAAACATCAGCATACCGAAACCATCTAGGGAACACAATTGGACGCATAGGACAGATGTAAGTACACATTCCTTAAGGCGAAAACATCAGCTAATGAAAAGATCAATCCTCTATATTATCAGACTCTGTATTTTAGCATAGCTATAATAAACAAATGATATATGATGTGACATATCTGCATAACAAGGATGCCATTTAGCATAGATTATGTTACCTCGAGGTGGTAAAATAACGGTTTGTGCCTCGAGACGTAAGGTAGTTTTTGCTCGTTTTTCAAGACAAGTACATTGCACGACATAGGAATACCAGCGTACGCCATCACCCTTCCAGAGGGTTTGTTTTAGTGGGCGTCATAGATGGGAGACAGTAATCATAGTCGGGCTTGCTGTCCTGGTCAAAAATAACGTGTCTATGCTAAAACGGAGTCATACTTAATCGCAACTCAAGATTTTCTATGCAATGTCGCACGGGATAGGAACTACGGGGCTGGGGGTACAGTGGACGTTCTCACGGCGTGAGCTCCAGGGAAGTGTCTCGCCGCCGGTAGGTGGAAGTGTCCCCATGGATTGAGGTGATCAATGAAAATTAGATAGCACAAGCATAGTGAAAAGTTTTGTTTCTAGGCGTGTTGCACGTCTCGTAAGTTTAAATTTTACCTGAGTAACTCGCGGGTTATTGATTCATAACAGTGATACCTTATATACTTCGAAACTTCTGGAACCTCAATTCTGCGTATTACCAGGGGTGGGTTTTGGTAAAATTAATGGTAGGTTGGTCCATGTATCTTAAAAGAGGAAGCAGGAATATTGGTGGGATTACTTTGGAATGAGAACGCGATTCAAGGCAATATATTTGTGTGTGGGTTGGAGTGGGGATAAAGGAAGAAGGGGACGCGCAATCATGGGCTGGGAGTTGTGGCACTTTTTCCTCTCTGGGCTTTCACTCGGTCTTGCACTAGTTGCACTAGATTACACCGCGTGCGGGTTTTTGTTCTTGTCGGATGTGTGTAAGAAAATGAGAGGGCCGTACGACGTTCAGTGGTTAGAATTAAGAGTTTGAAGAGATTGTTCAACTATTTCACACTGGCGGCCCGCGTGCCATTTATTGTCGCCGCGAAAGAAGGTTTAGTCAAAAGTGCATTTCTGGTCAGGTGAGAAGCATTGCGGGTGCATTGATAAACTTTGCGCATTCTTTCGGGTCAACAGCCCCGGTAACGTAAAAACATATTTTTCTTGTATTTTAAGGTTTTTATGGGGATTACATTCAGAATATTCACTTATGCTGTTTCCAGAATGTAATGTTGGTGGCCGCTGTAGTGTGAATGCTATGGATGCGTTTCGGACTCAGCAGGTTCCAGCTGATAGCACGCCCCTGTCACTTGATCCGGTAGCTCCCGCACGTCCCGTTTCGAGCAGTCGGGCAAACCTGTCGAGATCAACAGTAGGGGCAGCAGGTGTGGATCGCTTGTTGTTGGGGCTTCTGAGGCTTGCATTGGTGCACCTCTGATTGAGCTAACAGAGACGTCTAGAGAGATGCGAGTTAAAGGGAGAAGATTCTACAATTTTCCAACTAATATAAAAAATATAATATCTCATTTAGAAATGCATCAAAGAAAAAAGAGTGACATTCACTCCTGTACTTCGGAACCCACATAGTATACCCAATGCCTCGCACTAATTGTGCGACTATGCAACGCAGAGCACATTTTAATAAACAGGACGAACCTGTGCCTGTTAGCACGGGGTTCTAGGGGTGTCGACGTCAACGAGGGGTTGCTCTGCGAGGATGACGCGTCGCGGAGAGGGGGTGGGGGCGGTAGACAACGGGACGAGGGTGAAGAGAAGGGGGTGGCGGATGCCGTGAATTTATGTGCTGCGCGGCGTCGTTGCCTGTCGTTCACAATGGGAGCTGGGCCCGCCGCAGGTTTTGGTTGCAGGTGCGTTCCGCCGCTGGCGCGCCGCCAGTCGTCCTTTCGCTGTCGGGTTCTGCTCACGCGCGTGGCGACGCGGTGATGTGGTGAGCGCCGGGCAGTGGTGCATTGCCGCGCCGGCGTTCACGTACTCGAGGCTTCGAACATTCGGTTTTTAGCGGCCAGGGTGATATATGAATTGTTAGTTTTTGGTGGACTTTTATGGGACTTTGACAGGTCGGTCAAGGGTCTGTCTACCGAGTTTGCAACAATTTTTCGTTTAAACTGGGCCCGTTCAAAGAAATTTTTAATCAATAAAAATGTCTCTACATACGAGGAATACAAGATTATTTCAGGCTCAAGATGGGTCTGGGAAGACCGGAAGATATTTACGAACAAACAACACACCGGTGGAGTGAAGTAGGGAAACTGTCATGTTTCATAAACGTACATGTATTTTCAAGAAATAATAATAGAATCATTACATAAAGTTCCGTAACCTTGGAAGTGTATGGAGAAGTTGCCGACGAGCAGCGCCGCCAGCAGGTGATGGTGCGCAGCCGCCGGCCGGCGCGCGAGGGAAGATCCGCCCCTGGGCAAGCGGGCAAAGCGCCGCCGTGGCCGCCCCAAGTGCGACGAGTGCGAGTGCGCCAGGACCGCCCGTGGCGGAGTGCGAGAAAACTCGTCGCGCCCGCGTAGGGGGCGAGGCCCGGTGAGCGGCGCCCGATGTGCGTGACGGCGTGGGGGGTCCGATTGCCGCTGACAGCCTGCTTCGCTGCGCAGGCGACCGCGGGGTGGGAGGGACGGGGGACGGGGAACACGGAGGGCGTGGTTGGGACGGCGCGGGGGCACGGGGCTGGCGAAGGGCTGGCGAAGGGCCGGCCGACGAGCTGCAGAGAGGCGTCGAGGGGAGCAGCTAAGCTGGAGCGAAGGGTCGCGACGGGTCGATAAAAAGGCAGGTGCGAGAAGTAAAGGTATTTCGTTTCTTCCTCTACACACAATGTCGAATTAGTCGTTGCTGCAATATCGTCGGAAGAGTTGCTTAAGGGATGAGCTAATAGACTGCTACTAAGTATAAAAACCAGCGTTTCTTCTTGAAGTTTTAGAGAATGGAAATTTTCAATTTCTCCCGACAAGTCTCTCAGATCTTTGCCACAACCTTGACCCAGGCTTTGTTGTGGTTATACAATTTACGAAATAACGCGAGAAGAATAGAGAACATCATGAAATGAGAAAAGAATAAAGTATGTCGATCTTTACATTATCCCGGACGCTTCACTCTGGTACATCGTTTCTCTCCCTCGCTATGGTTGGCGTGTCGTTCATATCCCAACATCGATTTAGTTTCTCTTCACTGTTTGTTTTGAATACGGAAGCTATAAAAATCTCCTGCATGAGTTTCGCACGTGTCATGAGAAATCTTTGGAAATATGGCTCCGGATAAGAGTATTGCTGTTTGGAAGGCATGGAAAGAGAATTGGGAGCCTATCAGCTGAGATCACTTGGGAAAACAGCATCGGGTGACTTTTTACATTTGTGCATTCGTAATACTAATTTATATCTTGTTATAAATTTATTTATATATATTTAACTTTATTGTCATAAAATAAAACTTAATCCATGACGATGCATATACAATTCGCGGGAGTGTCATTTTGTAGTCGGGAGTAACAACACAGTAACACAATGAAGGGTAATTCGTCTTAGGCTGATTTTAGAAACAATGGGACGAACGAAACTATTATTGTAACAAATCGTAAAGCTAATAAAATAAACCGATATTACATTTAAAAACATGACTCCCGTCTTAGAAATTTTCATACATTCTTTAAAAAAATTGTGTTGTGCAAGTTCATAAATCAAAGAAAATTGTACACATTAAAGAATATTACCGGTGCACCTTCGTTCAAGACAATGTAGAGTTAAATGAAATAAGTTTTGAAATGATTGTTTCATTACAAAAATAAATTTAGTTAACATCAATCCGACAACCCAACTTCATCAATCCAACTTCATCAGCCACTACTGACCTTAAATATAATTAAATGATTTGCGTACTAGAAAAAAAAATTGAAATCGGTAGGGCTGTGTGAAAAACAGTGAATGGCACACGCAGTAAAATATTTGGCTTTTGCCCAGGATTGCTCGTGGGCGGCGTACCTGCTTCCCTTGATATCACACTATTGTAGGTTCGATTCCCGGTCGGGACAAAAATAGAATAGCAGCTTTCCTTTAGCTCAGACAGGCGGAATTTGCTAGTTACGGCGACGGCAATGCGTCATGAGCCTCGGCCTCGAGTCGCAACCTTTCCTACTCGCAAGATACAACGTCACTTTTGCCACTCGCGGATCTGGCGGACATGCATTGGACCCACCGCTTGACGGTATCCCCCCCCCCCTTAGCCCCGTCGAATATGTCGGGTGGCAGGGGAGGGGCCGCCCACACGAGCGTGTGTCGCAGGGCCCAAGCCGAGCGACGGACGGCGCCATGGCGAGCGCGTCGGAGCTGCTGCTGTTCCTGAACGCGTCGTGCGCGCCCTGCGCCGACCTGGGGCCGCCGCCCGACGCCATCCTGCACATCC